GATTAATGTGAACGCCCTGTTTTAAAATTAATAAATACAATTAGGGGAAATTAATACATTTCTAATCACGGAAGGATTGAGTTGGTGGTGGGCAGGAAACGGTGGGCAGTGATGTCATATTCAAAATTCTGATGTTAATAATAATGCCCCACGTATCACCATTTGAAACGACAAGATTTCATAATCAACCATCTAATCAAACAATTTGTAGGTAATCACTAATCAGTGTGAATATGACCATTTCAACTCAGGAGAAATTAAGGAAGAATAATCCTGGCCTGATAAGAGAGTCGAATCCGACCTATGAAAGAATGGAAAAAGAGAAAGAGGAAAAAACAATTATAAAATTTAAGGATTGAATTTAACTCCTTGTATAATTTTTTATATACCTCTTTATAAGGTTAGTTTTATTTATTAAAGAATTCTTTTCTTTATCTCATAATATGAAGTACCCATGAGTGACCTAACTGGATCACAAACCTTAACTGGGAAAATGAAATAGAAGTAAATTACTTAAGAGTATGCGACATTTTTTCTACCCAAAAAGTTTCAAAATACTACATTTTCATTGAAAGTTAATATTTCGTTAGTATCTAAAGTCGATCTGACTGATTCCAACAATGAAAATTATCTTTGTCACCACTATTCTCCTTTCGACGAAACTCCTCCCACCCTAATATATGATTTCTCGCAGATTGCTGGCCACCACAAAGCTAGTGTTTCCTGTTGTTAACTAATTTTTGGCTGATTCTGGTGGTAAATATTCAATCGGTCACCATCATTCAATCTATCGAGCTTCATTATACAAAACCCATCTTACTCTAGCTTTTGGTAACTCACCGAATGTTGACTAAGAAAGTAAAGTGTATTTCACTGTAGACCTGGGCAAACCCAGACCCAAAGGACTGGTCCTAGGACCGGTCCTTGTAGGGCCTAGTCCCAAACCGGACCAAGCCTATTGGAGGAGGGACCGATCCCTTAATCAGCCCCTCCTCCAAGGCCCGAGCTTGGGACCGAGCCCGGGCCCAAACCCCTTTGCTTAATTTCAAAAAAGTCATTTATCAAATATCCAAAAACCCCCTGAATATTTTGAAATTGACGAAAATATTAAAGGTCAAATCAATTTTACAGCACATGACCGTTGGCAGCAGCTACACTATAAATAATCTCCCACACTTCCAATTTTTTTCACACCAACTCTCATTCTCTCATTTTCTCAATCTCTCTACTCCAATCCAATTCTCATTCATATTTTCTTCAATTCAATTTATATTTATATTATATTTTATTCATATATCTTATTTATATTATTCAATTTTTTCTATTTTTCAATATCATCTCTTATTCATATTATTCATATTATTATTATTTTAATTTTAATTATTTATTATTTTATCACAAATTCATAATGGAATGGTCAAATGAGTTATACGTTCCATCAACCGAATAAATTGAAGGGTTCGATCCATTTTTACCATTTCCATAGTTAGCAGCTACAATTCAACGACAACAACCACATTCAACCAGGATGGGGTGCAGCCAAATACAAACGAGTTGCGACTCTATGGCCCAACCCTTCTGACCGTCAAAGAGGGTCATGTCCGATGTATGGCGACACTTCACAAAATCAAAACGAGCAAAGGCGAATTGGGAGGGGGAAGAATCGTGCGGGACATGTAATTTCTGTGGAACCGTTATCGACGCTAAGAAGGGAACTTCGACGATGCTACGACATTTGGAGAAGAAGTACCCCCAAATAATGTAGTTGTCCGGTTCATCTTCAACCGAACCAGATAAACAAATTCAAACTCAACTTAATTTTAATCCACAATTCTCAACTCTATCAACATGGCAGTACAATACACTCTAAGCACGAGAGGAAATTGCAAAATACATAATTGCTATGGACTCTCTCATTTCTTTATCTGAAAATCCTTTTTTTATTCACTTGATTAAAATTGTATTTTGTCTAGCATATACCTTGTTAGTAGAAGTACAAGTAGAAGAGACATACTAAAACTTTATAACCAAATAAATATTCAACTTAAAAATAAATTTCAAAATTTTAGGAATATATCTATTGCACTTACTTCAGACATATAGATATAGGCTTGTAGATCAAAAATAGATTTTTTAACTGTCAGAATACATTACTTAGATCATGGTTGGGGTTTACAACAAAAATGGATAGGTTTTAGACCATTATATACTGCACATAATACTGACACTATTTATTTTACAATACTTGAAGTTTTGCAAGCATATGTATTAATTGATAGAGTTGTAGCGCTAACGCTAGATAATGCAGCTGTTAACACTGCAACTATCTTTTTTTTTAAAAAATATTGGATTCGCGTGGTGAAGACAATTTTTTTTTCACTAGAGATGTGATTGCCACATCATTAGTTTGATTGTTAAAGCAGCTTTAGAAGCTATAAATTCAAAGATTGAGATGGTGCACGCGACTATCAGATTCATCGTCGACGGTAATAACAAAAGATGGCAGGAGTACGTCAAATATTGTAAGCAAAAATATCTATCAGTTCGACCTTTAAAGTTATGTACGGACATGTCTATCCATAATAATTCCACCTACTTGATGTTGGAAAAAACTTTGCCAACCGTAAGACAAATTACAAATTTCGTCAATCGGAGGAATCGGCAGGAAGTTGTCAGTTATGATGATTGGACGGTTTGCAAACTTTTTTATTCATTTCTTAAAGTTTTTTATGAATCCACTAATATATTAAGTGGTATTTATAATCCTACTACTAATTTAACGTTAGATATTTTATTTCAAATTTCTAAGACTTTTGCTAAATATAAATATAATGACTTCTTAATGGAAATTGTTTCAAAGATGGGAAAAAAATATGAGAAATATTGGTTAGATATTCCATTCATATATGAATTAGGCTTTGTTATAGATCATAGATTTAAATTACACGTAGTTATTTAGATAGACCAACATTTAGGACATGATTATACGTATTATTTGATTAACTTTAAGCAAAAATTGAAAAGCTTTTTTTTTTTCTTTATATCAGAGCAGGGACAATAGAATAGGAACGTCCAGCAGAGACGACCAACATGACCCTGATGAAGACAACTATCAAGAATCGAGCATGTGGACGTATATAGAAGCGAAAGTAGCAGCTCTGGCTTGTACATACATGAACCAAATGAGCTTAATTGCTACCTACAAATGGACATGTCCTATATGACGAAGAAGGAGAAACGTGAGATGGATGTGCTTCAATGGTGGAAACAAAATCAAAGTCGATTGCCCATTGTAGCCCAAATGGCACGTGCCATTTTATTTGTGCTGTTTTCTACAATTACATCTGAGTCAACATTCTCAATGAGTAACTAAATTGTTGAAAACAGAAGATGCTCTTTAACCAATGAGATGATTGAAGTGATAATGTATTTACGGGATTGGACTCATGCAGAGAAAAAACTACAGCAGCACCCTGAAGATCCTGAACTACTTAAACTCTTTAGGAACACATATTTAAACGATGTAAATATCATTGACGATGAATAATTTAATAAAAACAAATTTATTTAATTGTTTATTTGTGAAGTGTGAATATTACATTTATGTTAAAATTAATTAATTAAATTATCTCTTTAAAGTCTAAATTTAAATCCCCATATTTATAAATAATTATTAATTATAATTAACCATTAATTAATTTATTATTTAATTTTTAAAATTAATTAAAAATTTATTAATCTCTCTAGGGTGGAAAAAATTTTCCAGGCCCCAAAAAATTACTAAACCCCCCAACATAATTATTTTGCTGCAAATATAAAAAATTTGGGGGGGTGAAAAATAATTTTTCAGGCCCATAGGACCAGTTCGGGTCCTGAAATTTCTCATGGCCTTGGGACCCGTCCTAGGCCCATGAGCGATTGGTCCCAATCGGGCCCAGACCCAGGCCCGGTTGGGACCAGTCCTTGCCCAAGTTTAATTAACGGAACATAAACTTTGGGTGAAAAAGTGATATTTTGAAACTTTTTGGGTTGGAAAGTAATTAAGGCAAACCTTGGGTGGAAAAAGTTGTTTTCTCATTATTTAATCTAATACTTATTAATTATCTCATTGACCTACCAAGTACATTGACAATAAAACATAATTTTAAGGTAAAATGCGATTAAAATGCAAATTAAGTGCGTGACTATCATTATCGTTACATGAGTCAAGTAATTAGTAAGCACCACAGAAACCGTTAGTCTCTTAACGGTATCGTTATCATTTGTCTTAACAAAGTTAACGCACCCTCTAATCTTGTCAGCACCTCAGATAGGTTTCAACATTGACTTTTTTTATAGTTACTATTTCATCATCCAGCTGTCTGTCATCATTGGTTAACTGCTCGTATCTATCACAATTCATTGCCACGTGTCATCCGCATAATTACGTACTTAACCATCTTTTGTATTAGAATTTTACCACCCTTATCTCCATAAATACTTAAGCTAGAATTTAGGCCGTCATTTTTTTTTAGTTTTTGAATTATTTTAATTACCAGATTAAATGGTGGGCCCACTTATTCCTTATTTTCAACTTTAGCTGTCCATTGGATGTGCTGTCTGATTCAGATTTATTTTATACCTTAAAAGAAAATCCAATAATTTAGGCTTTATCAAAACCTTTTTTTAATAATTACACGAAAAATAAAATTTATAAGTAATCTGAAATTGATTTATCTTTATATTTTATTTATATTAAATTTAGTCCCCGCAAAGCCACAAATAAAACCACGTCTACGGACAGGATTCATCACAGTAAGTACCAACAAAAACTATTAGACATCCAATAAGATACAGCCACGTGACCACCACAACCCAGGAGATTTCTGGTACTAAAATGTTATTTATAATTTTTTATCGAAAGTTTCCCCGATAAATGTCGTTTGATTGGTTGTAGCAGTATGTTTTTGTCGTTTCCACTTTATTTATTTTTATTTTATTTTATTTTTTTCTCCCTTCTCTCTCTTTAGTGTTTTTGAGGCGCATATTAGAAGGACACCAGACTAGGGTCTGATCCAAACAGCCCTTTACTACTCCTCTCTATTACGCAAAACTGTTTAAACTGTCGCCGTCTGATTTTCTACTTCCGATCTTCTCCGCCGTCCATTATTCTTTCCAAATACTAGCTTCAAACTCCTCTTTCTCTGCTTTTATGTTCTATTATCTACTTATAGCTACTTCACTCTTAGTTATGATTTTCAAATTTCCTCTCGTCCCGATCCGATTTGGTTCTTATCGGATAGCTTTCGGGTTGGATCCCGCCGAAATTTCGTTCTCTCTGTAATGGTTTTTTTTTCTCGGTTTCAAGCTTCTCGCCCGATCCACTGAATATCGGCTTTCGAAAATTTTAACTGATAATTTTTATTTTATTTTATTTTTGTTTTAGTGAAATTTTGAGGGAAGAAAAAATAATTTTTTATTTTAATTTTTTTGGGAGATTATATTAGATATCGACGAGGTTGTAATTCATTTTTGTATGGACGAGGACAAAAAGGTAAATAAAATGGGTGCTGCGATATCAGATACGGTTGCAGAGTGCGTGATCCCGTACATACACGACCCCAGGGACCGAGACGCCGTTTCGTTAGTGTGCCGGAGGTGGTACGAGCTGGACGCAATTACACGTAAGCACCTAACGATTGCGTTGTGCTACACGACGACCCCGGAGCGGTTACGGCGTCGTTTTAGCCATTTAGAGTCGTTAAAATTGAAGGGGAAGCCGAGAGCGGCGATGTTTAATTTGATACCCGAGGATTGGGGCGGGTACGTGACGCCTTGGGTCAAAGAAATCGCTCAGTCGTTTAATTGTTTGAAGTCGCTTCACTTTCGGAGGATGATTGTGAAAGACTCGGATCTGGAAGATTTAGTTAGGGCTCGAGGGAGGAATCTTCTGGTTTTGAAGCTTGATAAGTGTTCTGGATTCTCTACTGATGGACTTCTCCACGTGACTCGCTCGTGCAGGTACTTCATCTTTGTTTAATAAGTTAGTCGCTGTTATTTCGAATTTATACCTGTTTTAATTGAAAATTTTGGTGGGTCTTGGAGTATTTGATAGCTGATAGTTACATGTTTGTGTGTGGTAATAATTAATAAAGTTTGTGAGAAATTGTATTGAGTTGAGAAAGAAGTTCATATAATTTGAGATATTGTTTTTGCTTGGAATGATAATGTTTTCCTGATCATTTGGAGCTTTTAATTCATTACTCCTGTTCATGAGTTATGTCTTTCCATGATTCAGATGCGTGGATGTTGTTGCTTCATTACATTGTAGTTTTCTCCAAAAGTTCAATTAGTTCTTTACTGATCTCATTAATGTTAAGCAGCATATATTTTGATTGAAATTTAACAACTCTTCACCTCTTAAGCTGTGTTACTACTTTACTGCCTACTTTGGTTTTCATTCTGGAAGCTATAATAATCATTGAATGGAAGAATTAGTCTGTGAATGGATGACTTGCTTGATTGGGAGAATTGCCAAGTTTCTATAACCATGATCCGTGAAGTTACTTTCTTTGTTTAGAGAATCTTTTGTTAGGAAGAAGTAGTTGGCTATTTGTATTTGTCACTCTTATTTAACTGTATGCTTAGTTGATTTTTCAGTTGTTGTTTCTATTGTTGGCTGGTTCAAGTTTGCGTGTTGTAAGACCTGCATCATTGTGCAGTTTTAAAATCTTCTTGGAGTCGTTAGTTTGTTGAATCATTCTTGGCATTCCCCTTTGATAATGTGATTGTAAAGTTGAAGCATACCCTGCAATGGAGGAAAAATTTCTGTTGCCATCTGTAAGAATATTGGATGTGTAAGTTCTTATTGTTGTTGGTTTGACCTTAGGATCTACGTGATGAAAACTCTGGTTGTTAGCAATTTATGAGTGTTCTCATGCCAATGGCATGAAGTGAGGGTGGAGTAGCAAATGCCTTTCTTTTGTTTGTGGAGGCTGGTGGTAGCTTTACTTGTTTTCTGATTGACTAAGGAAAGGTTTCATTTTGTAAATGCTTTGTGATGCAGTAATTATAATGACGATTCTTATTATTGAAAGAACAGAGCTGTCTTAGTTAGGGTTCTTGAGGGCAGAAGAAAAAGAATTTAAAATCTTATTCATGTGAGAAAATTATTAGAATCTATGGAAAATTAAATTGTTATAAGAATTAATTGGTACTAAAGTTTGATCATAGATGTCCAAAATAGGTAGATGATTGTCTCAAAGATTTGTTTGATTCTGCATTTACATATATAACAAAGGGAATGATATCTTTTATAAGAGAAACAAATGTTCATAAATTTCTCTTAGATATGTTTATTGAAGAAGAGTTGCTATAGTGGCAGTAAGGATTGTTGTAATTAAGTGCATCAACTCGCTCTTCATTGAATGAAGAGAGTTTATAGAAGTATGTTCTTTTGTTTTGAAACTTATTGATCTTAACTTCTAGTAGTTATAAGGTAGAAATTCTGACTCTTTAGTTTGTTAAGATTGACTCTCGATTCCAGATCATATTCAACCCCATGGTCATTTCTGAGAGCTGGATTGAAGTCACACATAAGGTCTGAGAACCACATAACTGCTATATATAAGCTGGATTGAAGTCATAGTGAAGGTCAAAATTAGTTAATGACATGATAGCAATTACAGGGAAGACGTGTCCCCAAGTTATATATAAAGACTGTTGCACGGGTGGTATTAATAATTATCATAATTTCACTCAGGAACTTTTTTATTATCATTTTTTAAAGTTGTGTTGTATGTGTTCACTCTAGTGATTTCTTGACTCTACTGTACGATCTAAGTCTAGGGACTAAGCTTTTCTGTTTACATGGGTCATGTAGGATTTTATCATGGTCATGCAATCATGACACTAGTTGTATAGAAATAGGAATTTAAGTTGACTTTTGTTGCCTACTATACTTGCTTCTTTTTCCTTATTTAGTCCTGTGGATTGTTGTGCAAGCTACAGCCTCAGCTAACTGACCCTTTTTTTTGGAGAGACTGGATTGATTCATGTTATTATTTGTTTTATTATGTCTCCACAGGCAATTAAGAACCTTATTTTTGGAGGAGAGCTCAATAAATGAGAAAGATGGTGCTTGGCTTCATGAACTTGCTTTAAATAACACTGTTCTTGAGACATTAAACTTTTACATGACAGAACTTGTCAGCGTCAACTTTGAAGACCTGGAACTCATAGCTAGAAATTGTCGGTCCTTAACATCTGTGAAAATAAATGACTGTGAACTCTTGGACCTTGTTAATTTCTTTCAGACTGCAACTTCTTTAGAGGAATTTTGTGGGGGCTCCTTCAATCATCAAGCAGACAGTTATTCTGTCGTATCATTTCCCCCAAAGTTATGCAGTTTGGGCCTATCCTATATGGGGAACAATGAAATGTGGATCATGTTCCCTTTTGCATCTGTGCTGAAAAAGTTGGACCTCCTCTATGCATTGCTGGACACGGAGGATCATTGTCTGTTAATTCAGAGGTGTCCGAACTTAGAAGTTCTTGAGGTAGGATCACAAAATTGTTTCCTGTTTATTATTTGCTTTATTAAGTCTTTGCATAATACATGTGTTTTTCTTTGTCTGTTGGCTTACATTTGTCTTCATTTCATCTTCCTTGTTTTACGAAGAGCTATATACACCTTCCAAGTCATGCTGTCTGATAGGTCTTTTTGTTTTTGTTGTTTATATTCTAAATGTGCATCAATGTTTCAAATTACTTTTTTAGATCACAAAAAAGACTGGGCCATGGTTGTTAATAATGAAGTGTTAAGACGTGTTTTGACATATAATACAATTGCCATTAGCTTCACGTTCTTTAGTTGTAAGAAGATGGAGGCTTTCAACTGACAGAACATAGTAGTAGATTATTGTTGATTAATTTAGGGAAAACGGAAAGAACATGAGTTAAACAATATATTCTTTAATTTTGCAGGAAGGTATTAGGAATTTTATTCTCGTTATGAAAAGTCATCCGGTTCTTATGGCAATTAATGGTTCAATAGTTCACCTGTTAAACTGGCTGGTCAAACAATTTTAGTGCAGTAGTGGTTCAGGTTTAATCTTAGGTGGAACAAGGCCCAACTGGTGGTTCTACCTATCAATCGGGTTTAGATTTTAAAACAATAAAATGCATAAGTCACTATATACCTGTTTATGAAATTTTCTACTTTGTAGTTTGGTTTCTTACATTTTTGTTTTCTTTGATGCTTTAGTTTAGAGGAATATTTATTTTCAGTAATTTTTATTTTGTTGACATTTCTCACAAAATTGTCATTTCACTGGTATTAGAATGTTGTTCGTCATACCACATTTTTTGAAGAGAAATTTTGAAATTTTAGGGCAATTTAAAATGTATAAATTCAGAAGAATGTTTCAGAAATCTAAGGGGATCAGAAACTGAAAGAGTAATTTTGTATTAATTTGCTTTTTATGTTGGCAGACTAGGAATGTAATTGGAGATAGAGGGTTAGAAGTTCTTGCTCAGAATTGTAAGAAACTAAAGAGGCTTAGAATTGAGCGAGGGGCCGATGATGATGCGGAAATGGAGGATGAAGAAGGTCTAGTTTCACAAAGAGGTTTAACTCATCTGGCTCAAGGCTGCCTAGAGCTGGAATACTTGGCGGTTTACGTATCAGATATCACAAATGCATCTCTGGTATGTATAGGTGATCACTTGAAAAACCTCTGTGATTTTCGCCTAGTTTTGCTTGATAGAGAAGATAAGATAGCTGATTTGCCTCTTGATAATGGAGTCCAAGCTCTATTAAGGGGATGTGAAAAGCTTAGAAGGTTTGCTCTATATTTAAGACAGGGAGGTTTAACAGACGTGGGTCTCAGTTATATTGGGCAGTACAGTCTAAACGTGAGATGGATGCTTTTGGGTTGTGTTGGGGAGTCTGATGCAGGGCTTATAGAGTTCTCGAAGGGATGCCCTAACCTGCAAAAACTGGAAATGAGAGGTTGTTCCTTCAGTGAGGGTGCCCTAGCTATTGCTGTGATGCAACTGACTTCACTGAGGTACTTGTGGGTGCAAGGATATCGAGCATCCCAAAACGGTCGTGATCTTTTGGCAATGGTTCGCCCATTTTGGAACATTGAGTTGATTCCTCCAAGACAAGTTCATGAGGCTGATCAGGTCGGACAGCAAGAAGTGAATCCGCAGCCAGCTCATATACTTGCATATTACTCCCTTGCTGGACAAAGAGCAGATTTTCCGGAGACGGTGTGCCCATTAGATCCAGAATCTTTACTTACCAGATAGAGCTAGCTGTATATACCACCTTTTTCAAAGTCTCTGTTGTTTTCATTTTACCGCCACGCCCTGTTTATAAAATCAAAAACTATTTTCATTTTTCTCCTCTGAGGGGTTCAAATTTTTAGTTTTGATTTCTGTTTTTTTGTTGTAGACTTTTGTTCCTTAAATAAGTTTGTGTTTTCTTCTGTAATTCTACTTTCTTCCTTCCTTTGTACAATTAACTAGCTTAAATCTCAGACCTTGAGTGAGTGACTTGTATCAAATCCACTGAGTAACTTTTTTCTTTTTTGAAATTACTTTTGTTATTTGGGAAAATCTTGGGATGCTTTGAACTCATTAATAAACATGTGACAGTCATTTTTTTTTTTTTTTTAATCATCAGGGTGTTTGAGCTAGTTTGTGCGCATCTCATCTAATCCTTTGAGAGTTCTGAAAGTCTGACCGGGTAATCTGGTAGTAAGTAGTAACCACCCCTATTTAGGTATGGGGGCACTCGAACTTAAGAGCTTGGAGAAGTTCTTTTTGTTCTTTTATCATTAGGCCACACAGTGGTGGTTATGATGTGATTTTACCTTGAGTTATATTTGGAAAACAAATTTGCTGGTCTGCAATTGGTTGGTTTCAATGACCTTGTCCTTGATATCCCAACGGTCCATGGCCAGATAAACCCATATAAAAAAATCTGCCGTGACCGCCAGCGCCTCCCTGGTTATGATCTGGGTGGTTCCCGCCAGGCGGAGGATTGTTCCCGTCATTCTGGTTATGATTTTGCTGAGGATTGTTCAGATGAGGCCCGAGTTGATAGTTCCTTCTTCATAACTGAAAGTTTATTATACTTATACCTCGCAGCAGACACAGCAATTTCCGAAGCCATTTCCAAAGCCAGGGCACCATGGACAACAACCATGGAGATTGTGATGGAAATAAGGATCCATTGTAATGCAGAAGAGTTATGGTGTTATGAAAGTAGGAGAAGATGATTTATAATGGAGTTTCGAACATGCAGAAGTATCATGTTTGTAACTGGCAAAAGTAGGTTCACACATTATATGTTTGTAACTGAACACTGGCGAAGGAGATATTGAGCACATGTTTTCTGCTCATTACCGTACTAACCTGGAGTAAATAAACCATAGGCTTCCACCATCGTCACCACCATAATTAACTACTTTGTGGCCCTGTCCGTTTCCACCATCGTTGCCGCAGTTGCTTTCGTTACCACCACTGTGGGCGTTACCTCCACCTTGGTTATGATTGTGGTGATCATGGTGAGCAACGTTCATGTGATGCTGCAGATTATAATAAACCATTAGGCTTCAAATATATTTATGATATCTTCGAAGTTTGAAAATAATGATCTCTTCTTCATGATCTTCAAAATTTAAAATTTCAATACTCTTTTATCTTTTTGTATAATATAAGTAGAGTTGCATCTCATAATTTGTGGCATATAAGTTGAGAGTTGTAGTGGACATCTTTGAGGTTATTTCATTTTATTCTGATTTTATGCCGACTCAGTTTGGTAAGAAACATACATTTATACTGTTACATTTAAGGGTGTTATTGTCTTTTAACATCTATTTTATTAAATGTAAGGGCTAAAAGAATAGTATTTCAAATGAGTGTCCTTAATAGTTAGGTATGGCAATGTTCCTCGGGATTTCGGGGACCCGTCCCACCCAGCCCCATATGGGGTGGGGAAGCCCCGGTTCTTTTGGGGATAGGGGCGGGGGTGGGGGGTGTTTTAATACCTGTCCTCGGGGATGGGGTGGCGGTCGGTGATGCCTTTCCCCCACCACTGCCGTCCCGTATATAATATATAAAATTAAAAATTATATATATTTACTTTTTACTAATACCCCTATATTTCACCTAATTATACAATTATCCTACCTATATAAACCCATATTTTTCCAATTTCCCTCACCCTAAATAATTGAACAAGAACAAACATTGACCCATATTTATGTATAATTAATTATATTTAAACAATTAATTTAAGTGTCTATCACGTGGACGAGAATTAACTATGGTAGTTGGTAATGTTCAAATTAGATTATGTTTATATAAAATTAACGGGGCGAAGACGGGCCTCCAACATTCTCCTTTAAGGCGGGGAAGGAGAATTCTTGTCATTCTTGTAACAGGGATGGGGCGAGGGTGGAGAGTGATTTTGAGGATGGGGATGGGTACGGTGAATGAGATCCCCGTCCCGCCCCATTGCCATGCCTATTAACAGTAATAAGTAAAAACAGGACTGCTGGAAAAGTTTATTCTGACAGAAGTTTTATACGAAGGGCATTGTAGAGTCTATTAACAGAAGTTTTATAAATTTCTGAACCCGGGTTCCCAGGCTTTGCTTTTTGGAGGCTCAATTAAATCTTAAAATTGAAGCCCAAGCCCAAATATCACTTGGGCCCGTATTAAGTTGGCCTTACCCATAACCCTAAAATGTATCAAGAAGCAACAAATCAAATAGAACTTGTAGACAAAAAAATAATTTAGTATGTATCAAGAAGCAACAAATCAAATAAACGGAAAGATAAAGCCAAAAAAATAATTTAGTATGTTGGTTTCATGTGGTGTCGATTAACGAAAACATTACAATTAGTTAATGAATACATTATCATATTAGCAAGCGTGATATTTTTGTGCCTCATAATTGAATGGTTGTATATGCATATATTTTATCCGTACAAAACCATCACGAGGAACAAGCGATTATTAGGTTGCTAAACTTAGAATATCCAAAAACGATTATCTTTCGTATAAAACTTGTTTAAGTTGTAGTGTAATGACCATTTTAATAAAATATCCACCTGGTTATTTATGAGTGAGAGAACCAATGAAAAATAAAACTTTTCATGAACGATGTGAGAGGCACCATAGAGCCTATAAATTAACACGTCTTGGTGCCTTGCTTTATCATATGCATATTTGTTTATAAGCCTGCAGGCATATTCATGATTCTTCAAGAGGGTTTTAGAGGGTAGATAGATAACTTTGTTATTAAATAATTGTTTACTATCTTTAAACTGTAAATAAAATTAAAAGAAGTAAAGGTGGCCAACAGTATATGGTGAAACCTTCTCAAAATATGATCAAATTTAGAATAAAGTGGAAAGAGTGCTTTCTTATACAATTTGCTGGAATAAAGTTTATAGTTCTGTCATTTACCCATAAAATTAGAAAAGAAAATTGATATAGAAATAATCATGTTGCTTTTGAAATAGTTAATGCTTGATTTGTGGCTTAGAATATTATGAATGCAAAGTGACATGGGGGGTGAGCACTAATCTTATTTGATGATGGTTGCAGCAGCAACAAACAATGGTAGAAGTAAAGTAGAACCCACAATGGCAACTACAAGAAAACAAAAACAGTGACACTGAAACATGATTTCTTTATATCATTTCTCGTTTGTCATTAGTGGAATACCAATCTTTCCAGATAGAGATCACCATCAACTCAATGAAGCAGAGGGCTGCTGTGTACTTTCTGTATTAGTACAGTAATTAATTTTAAAAGAAAACCACTGATCTTGTTTCAATGCCAGATTAAGACTCTTTTTCTATATTGCTTCTTTCCTGGTAGTATTACAAAGAATCTGTGGGAAAATTGAACATGTCAAAGATGTTCGTTAATTATAGTTTGGGGAGGTTTATCGGAGGAGACGAATCGACTGGACTGCAGAATGTCAGAGAAAGAGACTTCTGGCTTTGGAAAGGATTTTAAGCTAGGCATCTTTCTTTTCTTTTCCAACAGATTTGGTGGCACAGAAAGTGGCATTATGAAAGTATTATTATTCACAGTTCTTAGACTTAAAGTAGGAATTTTTGAAGCACATTTAGAGATAGAGATAACGCGAAAAAAAAATATAATTATATTGTGAGGTCGACGCTAGATTCTGTATTCCCACGGACAGGGTTACAGTAACAGTCATTTTATTTGTTTGCAAGTGAATTTAAGAATCAGAAAAAAGGCACGATGCTTCCAGAGAGTAGTAGGTGGTGAAAGAATGGCACTGGTGTATATTGATGAAACAGTTTTGCCACAATGGACAATTGGGTTGGCCGAAAGAGAAATATCAATGAAAAGGCAAAGGTGGATTGGTTTTAGAAAGATGATTAGAAATATATATGTATATAATGTAAAACAAAACTGCATTGGCATTCTTACGTGGATCTTTCTATATTCTAATGGAATGCATACTCAGCTTTCGACTAAGTGATGGTGATGAAGCTTTGGTCAACTTGGCCATACTGTATGCATAAAGCTAAGGATGGCGAAAAAGAGAAAAATATAAAAAAAGAAAGTTTTTAAGTAATCTGATACTGTGGAATTTCAAAAGGAGTGGGCTAGTGACTAGTGAGTCAACCAATTAGTCCACATCATCCAATGACATTGCTTCTCCGACGCAACGATAACAAAGCAAGCTATTCCATGTGTAGAGGCATAAGGTGCTTCTAGATTACCTCTTGTAAGCTGCAACCATTCTTTAACATCTCATCAAGAAACCATTGTTTATGCTTTTTCTGGTAAATCTGGAAATGACTTCATGAATCAGATGGAAGGAAGCAAACGAAACTTGAAAGGAATACTTAAAAGGCAGTGGTTCAGATAACTTCAAGAGAATTACCTTTCAAATTTCATGCTTCAATAAATCATTGATGTTTATATCGACAACATGATTAAATTTCACCTTTCTGTGGAATTCAAGGGTAATGTACAGATTCAACACATTGTTTAGGTAACAAAACAACTAAGACAATAACACTAAAACTGAAATTTACATGATACAAAAAGATATGGAATTTCAATTCTGGAGTACAGCAAAACAAAACGATCCATATATTAAATGACTTCTCTTAATTTGGCTTCAGAACACTGACTTTCGGGGTTGGAAATGAACTCCATGATAAGCAGTGCCATACAAATTTTGGCCCTGAAGTTTAAGGCCATTTGAACCAATGTCACAAGCAGACGGCACAAACAGGTTACCATGAGACGGACTGAAAATCATCGATCCATTGTTTGAGTCATTCCATTCAAGTCCTACTTCTTGCAAGCCAGAAGACGTCTGTTGCTGTGGAAGCACATTGGATTGACCGAAAGAACAAGGTTTTTGATTGTCTGATAAATTTGTATCAGCAAGATTGCCAGTAGTGATGTCGTGGATGCTTGGTCTCCTCTTGTCTTTCCCCCCAGAAAGCTGCCTTATAAAGTATTTCTGAGCGTGGCTTGCCACTTGAGTAGGAGTCTTAGTGATTACAAAATGCCGGGAGATATTTCTCCAGTCTCCTTTACCATACTGAAGAAGTCCCTTCAAAAACAGCCTATAATTCATCACAAAGAAAACCAGTGTCAAGAGCAAGAGCAGCATCAATCTTTGATTAAAATTTCAAATTGCAAGCCACAAAATATGTGAGAGAACAATAACCAACTTGAGAATTGGAAAACACCATCTGCAATTAAAACACACATACTATAGAAAGAGTATGCAGAGCCAAAATTTCAGTGAATCTCTTAGCCTCTATTTGAGTTTACAATAAACAAATTAAACTAGTGATTGAATTTTGTTGAATAAATAATCAAACTAAACAGAAAGTTCAAAACCAATTCAGCTCAATATTTAAGCAACTCAAAGCAGTTCATAAAACAACAATCTTAAAAAAAATAATAATAATAATTAAAAAAAAAAAAAAAAAAAAGAAGCTTCAAGCTTCAACATAAGCAACATTCTTATACAATCTTGAAGAGAAGTCACCTGTGCTCTTCTTCAGTCCAAGGCACACCCTTCTTCCTCTCCTGATCCGAACTTTTCACCATTGGTCTCTTCCTATTAGCATCAAAATCATGTTCTGAAACCAACTCTAATGTGAAAGATGAGCTATAATAACTAGGAATCGGAACCTTTCCAGCTTCTATATCCTTCACATCTTTTTCCAATTCTTTGTATTGTTTCATCACATCAAGCACTGTCTTTCCGGGTATTAGAGCTGCCACTTTGTACCATCTATCCGGAGTGCCCTCACTGTAAATTGCAAGAGCACTCTCAAATCTCTTGTTCTCTTCTTTAGTCCAGCTCGAGCTCTGGCTTTCCTGAAGAAACCAACTAGAATCTGACATGTATAAAGCTGGATACAGAGTTTCCATGCTAAGAAGAAGTCTTATTTTGCAATGATCGCTTTATAACTTAAAAGTCCATAATGAGTTTAAGAATGATTATAAACGAAGCAGATTAAGAATCGTTTTATAGGGAATCAGGAACCTTTTGTTTGGTTAACGGCATAAACTGAAGAATCTAATAAAGACCCTCCTTTGAAGAACCGAAGAGAATCCTGACAACACAAAAAAAAAATCCAATCTTATTCTTGGGTATGAGAGAGACCGAAAAAAAAAAAAAAAAAAAAAAAATCAACCAAGATGAGATTTTTAAACTTGAAGCATAGAAGAAGTTGAATAATTGATTTCCAAGAAATGAATCTGAAAAGATAGAATTTATGCTACTTTGAACTGCAACTCTCAGCCACAAAGTGAAAAGAATAACTGAATAAGCATGATAATCACATTAAGAAATACCAAGAATGGAAGGGCAAGGACAAGTTGGAAAGAGAGAGAAAAAGCGGGAAAATATTGTATCGGTTTCTTTGAAATGAAGAAAGAGAAAGATGAAAAGTATAGATTATATAGATTACAGAGGAAGTGAGAACTCAGAAAATTAAAACACAAACAGGAACAGGGTTGAGTTTAAGTAGAGATTGTGGATTGAAGAATGGTTGAAGAGATATAGAAAAAGGGGAACTTGAAAGGTGTCTCCTTAGCAATGGTTGCGTCGTTTGACACTGAGGTTTCTGTCTTATTCCTATTTGCTTTTCTTTGTCATTGTCAGGCAAATTTTTCATATTAAATAATTATAATTTTTTATGTTTATTGAATAATTTATATTGATCTAATAATAATGTTATCAAATTATTAATGTAGAATTTTCTTTTTGAGATTCTAATATTTTCTTTTTGATAATTTAATATACAAATATGACAAAGCGTGGAATAAGGTCTAACTTAAAATTTTCATATTTTAGCTAGAATAGTTTTATTTAAATTTTGTAGTTAATTTAATTATAAAAGCTTATACCACTAACTACTAATTAGGGCTCTAATTTTAGTTAGGTTTGAAAATAGAAATGTTTAAAAAAACATTTTGAAGGCAAATCTTCATGGGTTATTATTATCAAACCCCTCTAGTGAATGATAATAAAATATAAAACGATTTTTTAAGAGTATTATGTATCACTTAGATTATAATTTACCCAATAAAAAAAAAAATAAAAAAATAAAAAACACCCCAATAGAAGATGTATAATATTTTTAATAAATTGTAGGTGCGTTTTATATTTCATTGTCTCTTAAGGGTTGGAATAACTTAATTTTGAGCTTCGCTTATTCAAGTTGGAGGATGGCTAAGAGTATGTGAAATAAACTTAAAATTTATATTTTGAACGTCATAAGAAAAAGAGGTTATATTTTACATTCACATAATCACATGTAGGGGTGTTCAAAAGAACCGATTAGAACTAGAACCGGTGGGTATCCGGGGTTTGGTTCTAGTTCTTACCTAGAACCAATTATCAATGGATAGGTTCTGGTTCCAAATTTTTGGAATTTTATAGTGCGATTCCGGTTCTGATTCCTATAGTTAGGAATTGGGAACTAAGACTAATATAAAATAAAATTAAAGAGTAAGAGTTAATACAAACTTTTGTAGAAAAAAGTAATATGAATACATTTATATTTATATTTCATAACATTCAAAGTAAATTGGTTTGACTTTTGAGAATCTATTTTACAAAGTAATAGAGTTTGTAATTTTATTTTTGTTAACAAGTGTTAGGGGGGTATTTGTAAGTTTTTAAGAGTTTTTTCTATTTTAAAAATTTTTGGGGCGTCATTGTAATTTTACAGGGTACCTAGAACCGGAACCGTTAACAACAGTTTCGGTTATGATTTCAAATTTTAAGGAATCGTCAGTTCCGGTTTCTTCAAAAAATGTAGGGTCCATCACATGTATGTAGTAAAATAATTTATAAATATATATGTATTTAGACAAATATCAGCAAGCGCCTGTAGCTCAGTGGATAGAGCGTCTGTTTCCTAAGCAGAAGGTCATAGGTTCGACCCCTATCTGGCGCGAACATTTTTCTTTTAAAGTTTTGCATACTTTATTTTGTGAACAGTTTTAAAACATGTGCTTATATTTTTTTAGTTTTTTACATAGTAATTTTGCATTCTTATTTATCAAACATTTTGCAAAAACGTGTACATTTTATTGCAATTTATTTTGTGTCTATTCTAACTCTTATTACATTCTTAGTCAAACACTTGCTTTTCTTTTACATAAAATCATATCAAAACCAGAAAAAAAAAAAAAAAAAAAAAAAAAAAAGGAGAAAGCTACATCAGGTGACATGCCATCTTTTGCAAATAAAATATCTTCATCACTCTACAAACACCCACCTGCTGCTTCTTCCTTTGAAATATCTTCATCACCCACATCCTCATTTATATTACACTACAAGTTCCCATCTCATAATCTCTACTCTCACTGACATCTCCAACTTTCATTTTCAAAGCCTCTATTGATTGCTTTAGCATTTTGGAAGATCAGTAGGAGGAGGTATAAGTGATTCTTTGGGGCCTTTCCCATTGCCCACCACAAATGCCATCTTAAGCCCCCATGTTGTGTGCACTTCTAAATGACAATGCAAGAACCATACACCTGCCACAACAATCACAGTCTTACATTACATAAATTATGTCACATCCCATTTCACTAGAGTGAATGAGTTTAAGATTCAGTTTATAATGAAAGAGTTTAGAATTTATTTCATAAAACTCGGGTCTTCTTAACTAAGAAGACATGTTTTTTCAATGAAAGATGCTTGTGTGAAGTCTAGAAGCAAATCTGGTTGGATTTGGATTTTGAAAGAGATAGAATTTACTCAAGTTAGACCTCAAAATATCACCATTGATCTTGATGAGAACTTGTCCAAGGGAGAGATTGAGTAACTAAGATGAGTGAGTGATACACAGGGGTCCGTACTACATGAGTTGTACTTGTCAAATTTAGACGTTTTATCTTAAAAGAGTTGAGAAGAAGCACCTAAGGTGGGAAGTATTACTTGGATATTTGCCTAATCTGACAAAATTGACAGAATCTTGTATGCTCTTTTTCCAAGGCTATATATAAAGAAGGTGGAATTTCATTTTCCAGATAAAGACTAATATGTTTGTTTTAAGTTAGATCACTTTCTTGAAATTGCTATCGAACCTTCAGATAAGAATGCATAAAAAAATAACAAAAATAGAATAAAGTAGATTTACCTGGGTTATCTGCTCTGAATCTGATTGCTGTCCATCCAGCAGTTGGTACTCCAATGGTGTTCCTCTCTACCGGATCAACAAGATTAAAATTTTGTGGATCCTTATTTGGATCAAAATTTCCAAGCCCCTTGCCAACCGCAAAGAAGTTAAATCCATGCAAATGTGTTGGATGGTTCTCTGGGGCTATTAAAGTTGTGCCTTGAAGCACAACTTGAACGGTTGAGTTATATGCCACTCTGTAGACCCTTGTGCCATTCAAGGTCCCGACATTAGCTGTTGTTAAATTACCTGTATAATTATAAGGTATAGGTGGGGTCGCTGGGAAATCATCAGTGAAAACTCCACTTATGTTATAGTAATGTGCTTGAAGAATAGCTGTAGATGGCAATACAAAGCTAATGTTATTTAAGCCTGCCACAACCCTGGTACCATTAACACATGTTGCACATGGATTGGCACCAACAGCCATAGCAAACAGCAGTGAATGATCCACAGTTTGTGGGACGTTTGCTGGGTATATTTTCGAATTAAGGCTTCGAAGATTATCTTGAAAAGCATTTGTTACTGCAGTTGCATTTATAGCAGGAACGTTGGTGAGGGTGGTAGGAGAAAAAGCAACGGTACCCTTGTAGCGCAAGAAAGCAAAGCCAGTCACATTGTTGACAGCAACTACAGTGTCCATGAAAGGAGAGATGGTTATTAAGTACTTGCCAATGGCCTTATCAGCTGTTAAAATGGCATTTGTGGTTTGGCCTGGACCAATAAATATTGTGTCAGTTTTGAAAGGCTTAGTGTAGGAAGCGTCAACTTCAACAATGGTTAAATTATGTCCAGCAATTTTGAAAAAGAGTTCATCGTTTACTGCTGCATTGACAATCCTCAGCAAGTATGTCTTTCCGCTTTCAACATGTAAAGTGAAACCTGCAAAAGTCAAATAAAAATGTGATGGTTGTTAGCAATTCTAGTCTTTTCAAATCTTTTCGGTGCTGTAACATTTAAACAACTAAACTATTATCTGATTTAGACACAGATATGGATCAATTCAATCTGGATATGATACCACTTGTTGATAGTGTATTCATGATTTGATACTAAATTATCAATTTCAGTCTATTCAAATGTTTAAAAAGATGCATATAATTTTGTTTTTCTCTCTCTTTTTCTATTATGAATAGTAAAATATTCAAAGACTATGTATACCACAAGTCAGTACCATGAGAAGTGCAATTAGGAACTGGTCCTGGATGGCCATTAATGGTGTGAGCATCCGATACATTTGGCGCCAAACCAGTTTGTGTGGCCTGGTTGATCACAGCTTCAACATCTGCTTTCCACCATTCACCTACAGTTAAGAGAACAAAATTACATTATTAACAGCAGCTGAAGACACTTTCATTCGTAGAAAAGCTTAATATGAACTTTGAGCTCACCTAGTACAATGATCTTTTCCTTATCAGGTTTAGGAAAAGGATAAGAAACACCTTTCTTAGGCAAGATAACAATAGCACCATGTATTGTTGCTCTTAGCCAGGAAATATGTGCATGCCAGAGAAGTGTTCCTCTTTGTCCCGTTAAGGTAAAATTGTACAAATAATTTTGCCCTGGTTGTATTGGGCATTGTGTAACATACGCTGGACCATCATACCATCCAGTTCGAAGCTGCCTCACACCATGCCTGCATGTTAAACATTTTTAAGAAGATTTTAGGAATCATTGGTTCATTGTCAATGGTTAAATTGCATGATAAACAACATAAGTTCTTGTAAAAGTGAGGGCATAATAAGTCTCACCAGTGGATTGTAACATTGTATTGAACGTGGTTGGTGACCCTTACGAGCACATTATCGCCTTCTCTTGCGTACAGAGTTGGCCCTGGGAACTTCCCATTCACAGTGACTATAGACTTCGTTGAACAAAGCTTTGTGAAGTTTGTCATGACCACCTGCATAAATTTCACATTAATATAAGTATATATATTCACTCTCTTATTTAGTCTTTTCCTTTCTAAATTAATGAAGAAAGAAAATTATATGTTCTTATTTTTGCTTTAGTCAAAATATAATGCTAGTGCGGTTATTTCCAGGGCAATGAACAACCCTGACAGTAACAGACATTCAACTTACACTGAAATTATAGTGACGAACCATTGACTCGACCAATGCCGGAAACATGAGAGTCACCAGCAGCAGTGCCCAAACCAAAGATGCCATCCCTCTCTCTCTCTTTCTCTAAGTCTTTGAGAATAATTCAAGGCAATTTTCAGGATATCACCAATGTATGCCTCAGTGCTTAAGTTTATAATAAAGTCTTTGATGCGATGTCATTTTACTTTGTTAGGTGAATTGAAAATGCCAGATTTGTATAAATTCTTCTAACTTTTCTTGCATGTTACACAATGTAGTCATCTATATACATCTGGAAGTAAGCTAGCTAGCTTGTTAGCGCTTGTTGCCATCTTCAATTGACTGCGACCTCTGTGTGAAAGTTGAAACATCCCATCTCCTTGACGATTAAATGGTCTTTTACTTATTCTTTTTGTCGTCGCGTGTTTTCTGTAAATTCTCTATTCTACTTCGTTATAATTACCATTTTTTTTAAATCTTAATTAGCTATACCATGATAATAACTGGCCTCCAAATTCCATGCCTTCTTAAATCTTAATGAAACTCTGGTTGTTACTTCATAGTTTATCCCAAGCTCTTAGTCAATCCCTCATCGAGGTCCAGTAGTAGATGTTATCATTACTGTAGGCTTACAAATGCAGCTAATCTTCCAGAATGGTACAAATATTCAAGGAAGATGACTGCAAATTGTGGTGGTGGGTAATGGTCTAATTGTATGTATAATTGTATGTGAGATGTTAATGTACTTTATATTTCTCTAGTTGAGAAATGGTTTTTATGGACTTTTACAATCAGCCTGGTCAGCTGTCCAGAAGCTTAAAGTAAATATAAGATATGGGGTGTGCAGTAACATCTCCACTTATATCTATTTAAATTCCCACATCTTTTTCACCTTGTTTCTCAAATCCTACATGTTTTTCATCAGATACTTCACCTCGGTTAACCAAACTTTACATGCTTTCAAATTAGCCTACTTCTGTCTCTGTCTCTTCTTTGTACTCCTGCTTATAAATAAACACATTTATCATTTATATTAAGCTTTATAGAGCTTGATTAATCTACATGTAATTCCTTTCTGTCAAGGAAGGAAGAGAGAGACAAATGGTAGTAGGTATAAAAAAGAAAAACTAAAAAAGGGTTAAAAGAAGTGGGATCTTTAACAGTGCAATGATAATCACAACCCAACCATCTCAACTGTCATCTTTCGGAACCAATCGCCTTCCTTAGTTGGTTTTTTGCTAACTTAATTATCAAAAATGCTCTGGTTTGGCCTTGGCATGTTGTGTTAAGTACGATATTTTCCAAAGGATTCCACAACATCCTCTTCTCATGTCTTATTAAGGTTCTTTATACGGATTTGGCAGGTTAGATTGAAACATATTGACGGATTTTAACAGATAAGAGAGACATCAAATATCCAACAAGATTCATTTAAATTGAACTTACTTTCCAAAGTAAGATCTCATGAAGTTATGAACATAGTCTTTTGCTTAATTCTTCTCCTGTGAAAGGGGCACATCAGAATTTACCGCTGAGAACTCGTTATAATGGATGCCTTTTTAAGTATTTTCTTTGAATAAATTCGCTAAATCAACTAAGACTTGTCAGGTTGGACTGACATGGAAGTTTCATGGAAATTCTGTCGGGGAAGACAAGAAGGGTATCATTTTTCTACTGCTACAGGGTTTTCTATGATGAGTCAGAATTGAGAGTTGAGACCATACAGTTTGAACACATTCAATGCATTATTAATTTGCATCATATATTAGTGTAGATTACAAAGAAAGATGCTGCAATTTGGTATTAGAACTGAGACAGCCCAACACTAAACATGTACCACATGCTCTTAAACCTTAGTTGATGATGATGCTTCTATGGCACCACCAATCCTGTTTATGCAAGATTTGTAGAGAAATCCTAGATAGTCTATAATGCTTTCCTCGGAAGCGCCTTCTACAGGATCTATCTCAAACGACCAGTTAACTAGAGTTGAGTCATCCCCATAATCTACAAGTTTTAATGAATTTACAGATCCATCTAAACCTACATTGCTTGCATCCATTTTGTAAACATAACTGTGTGAAGATGTGTCCATGGAAACTAGCCTCTCCTTGATCCATGACCTTTCCCCATCATCTTGAGGAAACATGAAACCAGAGACGAGCCGAACATAGCCTGGAACTCCTTCATCTCCAGTTAGGTCAGTGCACCTTTCAACCATTGGCATCCATTCTGGTAGTTTTTTGGTTTGAGAAACCATGGTCCAAACTCTATCAATGGGTGCATCAACAAGTCCACCAATTGATCCTCGCCACTTGCTCTGTCTTGCTTGAAATGCCTGGAGAAAAATTTGAAAGATTATAAGTTAAAACTCAATAAATCATAACTAACCGTGATGTAATTACTTCATGAAAATTGTAAAGTGGGGAGAAAGATTATCTCATTTGCATATTACACAGACAATGCAGAATGGTTACCATTTTTTTTGGTCAATATCTTGTTTAGATCTGGGTAGTTCTATTACTGAATGATGTTTTCGCCTTGCCAAATATTGGTTTCAAGAGTTTGATCTTGGTACTGCATATGAAATCTTCAGATAATCTCTGAGCTCCCTTGTTTCTTCCATTTGCATAGCATACCATAAGGTTGCTTATTAAGTTAATTGTGACTGTTGGCATAGTTAATTGTGAAGGAATCTTAGGTAACAATGTAAGTTTTGGAATTTTTCCATTGGAAGCCAAGGGAGGAGCTTACAAGAAGATAACTTCTAGGCCTCTCTTCTTTGGTATTTGCAATATCTGAAACAAACCTTGGCCGTTCTTTTTTTATTTTTCCATCCAGGTATTTCTGCTCTCGGTAGTGTTAAGTAGCATACTGTTCAGGATATTGCAAAAGAAAGGTAAAACCTATTTGTTTTATCTTTTTTCACAGCTCATAAAGCTAAACATGCCATGGAACTTAAAGATCAGAAAACAAATAAGCCAGTCAAGGTTGTTTCTTAATTTGTGCAGTTTGAAAAGATTAAGCCACCAAATGCTTATTATGGTGTGGCCATGGCATTGCATCTGAATAAGACTCAGTGTGACAGAATAGATTAAACCGACGATTGGGACTATTATTCTAATTAATTCTCTTTTAATCTACGGCAAGGAAACCTAAAATTCAGCTATAAGTGTTATTGCTGTAATAGTTTGTTTAAGTTCCAACTATACAGGAATCAATAAGAAAATGACCCAGCATAACGTAAGAATTAATCATTTAGTATTCATATCTAGTCATAGTTAAGAGCACATTTTGCAGGAAAAAGAAATGGGCAAGTGAATATTGGTGACATCTGCCTGATTGTTTATCTCTAATAACAAATTGAACTTTGTAATTCCAAAGTCTCGGAACAACTAGAATATTTCTGCACTATTATGCAAACTTTTGTATTGACAGCATAAAATTCTTTTTTCCAAACAAAGAAAAAGAAACACATGAAAGCAACATTTTACTTAAGCAGCTGCTCCAACTGGAACCCCCTTGAGCCTTGAGGATCCATATAGAGTTTCTTCGAAACGGATAATTTCATTCTTGGAGCCATAAGCAACTTGTGTTCTTTCATCAAGATTGTTGATCACCTTGTCTAGTACTGAAATGTGACCATCACTACTGAAACCTCCAGCTTTCTCTACCAAGAACCCCAAAGGAGCTACCTCAAACAACAGCCTCAACTTGGCTTTCGAAGATGGGGAAATCACATTAGTGAAGACACCTTTCTCTTTTACAATAATCTGCATTCGAGAAGTTAAATGTCTTCAAACTGACTAAACATATAAGCTGACTCAACAGTCACTCAATTTATTAAGAGAAATAGGGAGAAAAAGTAAAGTTTGGTATAGTTGGCAAGACCTGATTGACGTCTGGCACCATTCCTCCTGTGTATCTGAGAGTGTATTTCTCTTTTACATAGTAGTTGATCAGCTGTTGAGTAACAAAGAGAAAAGTAAATAAAGCTGAAATAAGCTGTTAATAACACAATGCATCCTCAATCTATCTGTGTAGGAAATTTAAATTTAACAACATTGTACCTTCTCATACTCAGGGTTGTCGAAGGTAGCCCTCAAATTTCCAGGGGAGAAAAGTTTTCCTTCACCAATCTCTATTGTGTCTTTGACATGTTGCCATTTTCCTGAGCAGGGCATCATAGAAACATTATTTTACAAGATAGGGAGAGATTCAGGGTCCCATTACTTTTGATGAACCATAAGTTATTTTCTGTATAGAACAAAAGAGGCTATAAAAGAGACAAGTACTGTAATTGTTTTTGGACTGAGGCATTCTCCAATTTATGGATAGTATGGACTGAAGCATTGATACCATACACAAACTCCCAATTTGCTAATGTCAATACAGATTTTACTGAAAGCAAACCTTCATCAAGAAGAAGGAACTCATGGGTGCCAGGAACATCCTTCAGAGCAAGAACATATGTGGTTCGAGGACCATAAATTCCCATGGCTGCAGCAACCTGATCTCTTCCAGTCACCCCAGTTAACTTGTCTCCAGGCCACACCCCAAAGATGGTTCCTACTGTAAAATTTGTGTCCACAATGCTAGATCCATCAAGTGGATCAAAAGCTACACTGAATCCACCTGTTCAAATTGTCCTGATCTCATAAGTATCTTCCAATTACACTTGGCAATCTTGATTTCTAATTTCTGTCATTAAATCATTTAAAAATTTATAAAATATGCAGACCTTCAACTGGTCCTCCCATGTCCTGGAGCTCAGGTACTTCTTCAGAGCAAGCATATTTGCAGAAGTGCGAGTAAGTCAAGGCCTATAACAAAGAAGATAAGTAGATTTCAATTTAGAGCTATTCTTCTTCAATTTTTCGCACATTAAGTAGATTTAATTGCTTAAATAGTATTTATATTTATTATATATGTAAAAAAATTATCAAGTCCAACCTCAAATAGAAGTTGGTTGGCAAGCATATCCACAGCAAGTTGCTCGTCTCCAAAGGAATTGACACATGCTGTTCCTCCACAAGAAGCAGTCCTGACCTTAAAAGCAATGGTCCTCAATGCTTCTCCCATGCACATCATCAACCTAATCAGTCCCTTGTCTGGTGTTGCCTTAGTAAGGAACTCTTCCTACAAGCACAAACCCCTTTAATAATAACTGATTATGAAACTAAGTAAAGCAATAATTTTCGTATACATGTTAGACTTACCAAGCTATCACCAATCTCACATCTGGTCACAAGGGAAGAATTCTTTGCCTTTGAAACCTTCACTGATGATCTTGGCACCACCTTCAGTGATTCCCCAAATAGCGAGGTTGATTTAAGACTCTGTCATGCATTGAAACTTTCATATTAAACACAATTTTTTTAACAATATAAAGCATGCACAACACGTAAGCAACAGTAAGTAACCATACCCTGGAGCTGAAAGAAGGAGAAACGGAAGCTGGAGAAACTAAAGCAGAAGAACGTTGAGAAGCAACACTAGGAAGAACAACTCCACGTGCGTAGCATGTGATACCTGTCTCCATAGTTGATGAAATTTTCAGGAGCTAGCTTTGATCAAATTAAGGTCTTGCTACTAGTAGTAGTAGTCGCAGGGAGTAGTAGTAAGTTGCAGTTGTGTTAATGATTTTTTTTTTTTTCGGGTCATGGGAAGTTGGATAGGAGATAAGCAGTTTACGTAGTCATGCCACGTGGAGGATGGTGAGTCAGTAGATAGAATGGTCGAGTAACTGGCATCGCTCATTAATGTGTGGCTCTGCTCTATAAAGAGATATGGTAGCCATTTGAGTTGAGTCGAGTCCCATATTGCTTATGTCTTCATCAACTGATTTTGTTGTTCTTCTATGTTTTGTTATTGTTTCTTGTGCCAGTAGGCTGTTATGCAGTTATCATTTTATCATCAAAATTAAAGTTTTATAAAGTATAAAGAAATTATATAAAATAGGTAACTGAGGATCCCAAGGTGTGAACCGTAAATTCAAACATGTTTAAGTATGGATTTATTTTAAAAAGTATATTTCATATAAACAAAGAACATCTTTATTAATTTTTAAGTATAAAGAAAAAAATTTTTATTCAAATCTAATAAACTTTTTAAATTTAATGGAGATCCTTTTTATTTTCAAGAAAGAGACTTAATAAAAGAGAAAATTAATAAATAAAATACATAAAAAACTTATAGTTTATTAATTAAAATTATAGTAGAGAGTGAAATTTGACTCTTTAGATGTAAAGAGTCAAACTCATTTTTTAATTTATATTTAAAAGATGAAGAGTATATTAGACTCTTGTTTTTATGTATAGACTCTTTATAATAAAGAGTTTGTGTCGTATAAAGAGTCATTTGGAGGCGCTTTTATTGTGTTTAGTTTTAAACTTAAATAATATATGTATTGTGGAGTCAAGGAGTTTATTATCTCCCTATCATACTATGATAATAATTTTTTTTTTTCTTATCTAATAAATCATTCTATCTTTAGTTAAACAATAATACTATGCTTACTGATAATCCGTGGATTATACAGTTTTCATTAGACTTTTTTGTCGGATTTCAGGTACTTTCTAGTGCATTTTGACTTGAATTGTTACTTAATTCTCTACTTTTCGTGTTTCAGGTTAAAATGGACATTTTGAGCAAATAAGGACAAAATTGGATATTTTTGACTTAGAAATGAGCGGATCTCAGAAGATAGGAGAGTTCCGGAGCAGGATAAAGCACGATGAAGCTTGTTCCAAAGGGAGAGCACCGAGAATCGAAGAATCAAACGAAGAAGCAAGCAGAGTGGCAGTTCTATAATTTCAGTAATTTTCAATTTTTAAGAAGCGTCGCCCCGACGAAGTAATTTCTTCTCCGCGGCGAAGTAAGCTAGGGACGAGCGTGTTTGCTTCATTCTTCGCGCGGCGACAGTCAATTTTTCCAGTTTTGTTAAACGCACAGTTTCGTTTTGTGCGGGTTTTAGCTGGGTTATTTGGACAAAGTATAAAAGAAAAACTTAGCCTTTGCCCAGGGGTCTTCATCTTTTTAGGGTTAGCTGCTTTTACATTTTTCTTAGTAAAACTTTGAGCATTTTGGGTTGTAAAAGAGAGAAGATTCGATTGTACTTAAATGATTCATCTTTGGGGAGATTTCTTATTTATTTCTCATTTTCATTACGTTGAACTTGATTATTTCCGTTTTTCGTTTTTTGTATTATGATTTAGCTATGAACTAATCTTTTATGGGTTAGGGTTTCATTGTAGTTTGGATTTTAATGGGTTAAGTGTTTGATTGTTTATTTTCATATGAATCTGCCTTGGTTGTGTGTTACTTGAATTTTAATGCTGTATCTGATGAACATGATGAGATTGAGAAATAATTCATGTTAGGCTTCTTGGGTAAACAACATTATAGTAGTAGATGCTAGAGATAGATTCAAGAATTAATGAAATCATTGTAGAATTCTTTTGCTAATGAGTTGGAATTGTAATCTTCAATTTATTGGGTGCGGAAGGTTAATAAGATGAATAGGAAAACATAGCCCGAGAGGGTATGTTTAACACCTGTGAGTTCGATTTACAACCATTGCATATGAATGTGAATTTAGTGTAATTTTTAGGTTTACCCATAAAATCTAAATGAAGTCAAAACCCTACCCGCTTTTCTTGAATTGATATTTGCGTTTGCATATTGCTTCCTTAATTAGAATTTTAGTTTAAAGTCATTTTTTTTTAGTTTAATTAGAATTAGCTCCCATCAATCCAAATTATCGATTGCTTCAACTTGATAACTTAGGAAACTCAGTGCTTTGCTAACAATCCTGTGGGAACGATACTCTACTTATCATTTTATTACTTTGTGCGACTAGTATACTTACTACATTGCATGTTGTAGTAAACACGCATCACTTACTCCCGATTTTACTAACCACCTTACTATCCTGTGTAAATATAAACATAATATGGGTATCATACGCATAATATGGATACCATATGTAATTTTAATGAAAGATAGTAAGATGGTTAGTAAGATGTGAGTAAGCATAGCATAGCATTATTATGATTAATATATATTATCAAGTTTTAAGATTGAGATCGCTATTGGGTTGGGCTTTGAATTCAAGATCTTCATGGTTATTGGGCTTGAACTCCTAATTTAAGATTTAACGGGCTTGAGAAAAAGTAAACCGGGTGAGCGCGGGTGGAGAAATTAGGGTTTAACCCTGAAAACAAAAATGGAAAAAAATACCGCAAAGTACACTGAAATATGGCTTCATTTGGTTCAATGAATTTTAGAATAGTATTTTGAAAAAAAACGTAAAATTGAGTTATTTACTTATTTTAAGATTAAAATAATTATTTATTTAGTTGGATGAATAAATAATTATTTATTTAGTTGGATGAATAAAATAGAATAGGATTACGAGAATATTGAAACGAATGGATTTTTGGGTTTACTTTATTAGGCAAAGCGGAATAGTATTTTAAATTCATGAACCAAATGAAGCCTGATTCACTGAACTCTCAACCCTCAAGGCTTCATTCACCCACAGTGTTGTAAACTTATCAACTTTTTGATATTCATTCATGGAGCTCGGCGCCTCTTCTAGGGTTTTAAGCAGCAGCGACGTGACTTGTTTTAGCCCTGTATCCACAGCAATAACAAGAAGAAATAACCGAAACCCCATAAACACCACAAGCTTTAATCTTTACCAGTATCATCAACAACAATTCTCAAATGCTTCTATTCGAATTTCCAAAACATATTCACGCAGAGAATATACTCCCAATAAGGTTACTTTCTCTTTATTTTTTGTTTCAATTATGGTCTTACTTCGAGACTTTGTGAGTACAAGGGTTATTTAACGAAGTCTTCTACTTTGAGGAAGAACTTTGAGAAGTTTTCATAGTTTTGGATGTGGGTTTTGTAAATTTTCAATATATATATATATATTTTGCTGTGATTTTTTGTAAATTTTCAACTTCTTAATGGAGTTCTTTTGGAATTTGATGCTTTTAGGTGATCAAGATGAGTAGAGATGATTCTCGCGAGTTTGAGCTATCAAGTTTAACTGCTTTGTCGCCATTGGATGGCCGATATTGGGGTAAAGTTAAGGACTTGGCTCCTTACATGAGTGAATATGGGCTTATTTACTTTCGGGTTCTAGTTGAGGTACTTTCCTTTTTGTTTGAATTATTTGATTCGTTTGAACATGTTTCAGAAGACAAGCAGGCAATGCAATTCTATGTTCAGGAAAAATTATCAGTTCTACTTGAATAATAGCTGTTATTCTTGTTGTGTATGTATGAGAACTGTTTTTACTACCTGCATGTAATTATTCAACTTACAATTGTTTTTGTAAAGTTCAATTTGGTTAAAATATGGTCAGGACCTGAAACTGGTTGGAGTAATTTGGGGCAAAAAAAATAATCAATGTATCATGATATGAGAAATGATATAGGGCTTATTTGGAGCAAACCAATGATTATTAAGACTGCTCTGATAATTTGTTGTTTGTGCTGCCTAGTGGTAATATCTATAGTAACCACTACCATGATTCAGGTCTCATCTGATTGAAATCCATTCCCTTGCATCTTAATCCAATGATGCGTTTTTTCTTCTCGAAACTTTTTGTTTATTTTGAAGGGATTTTAAATTCATATGCTGCCTGCCAGATCAAATGGTTGCTGAAGCTTTCACAAATTCCTGAAGTTACCGAGGTTCCAAGCTTCAGTGAAGAAGCTCAGTCTTTTTTGCAAGGAGTAATTGATGGGTTTAGTATGGATGATGCCTTGGAAGTCAAAAACATTGAAAAAGTCACAAACCATGATGTGAAGGCAGTGGAATATTTTTTGAAGCAGAAATGTCAGTTCCAGCCTGAGATTGCTAAGGTTGAGGTTTTTCTCTTCAGTTTCTTTAGATACTGAAATAATCTTTTTTTCTTTTGTGTCCACTGCTTTAATTGTATTGAAATCTTAGGATCACCTTAATTTCTTTCCCTCTTTCTCTTATACTATAGGTTCTTGAGTTCTTTCATTTTGCTTGTACATCGGAGGACATCAACAATCTTGCCCATGCATTGATGCTGAAAGAATCAATAAACAAAGTCATGTTTCCAGTAATGGATAAATTGATAAAGTCGTTATGTAACATTGCGAAGGATAATGCACACGTCCCCATGCTTTCTCGTACGCATGGTCAGGTAATAGAGTTATTACTTGCTTGTAATTAGTCATTCAAGTGCAACATTGTAGCAAATCATAGAGGGCAATGATATTGAATCATGCTTTAATGTCTGAGAATTGTACTTGATAATTTTCATCTGTATATACACTCTGCTGTGGAAAAGTTGGTGGGTGTGTTTGAATAATTTATCTTCTAGAGTGTTTTTTTTTTTAAATATTTTTTTTAGAACATTTTACTTTGTCACAGTTGCTTTATAGTTTAGTTGCAGAAAAATTAACTTTTCATTGCTAAACTGCAGACAGCTTCTCCAACAACTTTGGGAAAGGAAATGTCAGTTTTTGCTGTTAGGTTAAGCAGAGAAAGGAAGGAAATTTCTCGAGTTGAGATTATGGGGAAGTTTGCCGGTGCAGTTGGAAATTACAATGCACATCTTTCTGCATATCCTGATGTTAACTGGCCTCAAATTGCTGAGGAGTTTGTGAATTCTCTTGGACTGACTTTTAATCCCTATGTTACCCAGGTATTTTTATTTTTGGCACTTCTTTTTTTTTTTCCTTCTAGAGCAATTTATTGCTTGCAAGATTAAAAGTCACTTGTTAAATATTTTCTGATTTGCAGATTGAGACTCATGACTACATGGCAGAACTATTTTATGCTTTTATCAGATTCAACAATATTTTGATTGATTTTGATAGAGATGTGTGGGGCTACATATCTTTGGCCTACTTTAAGCAGGTAAGCTTTGTGACTGAAGGGCTTGTTTAGGTGGATTTCTCCCCTTGTACAAGAAAAGTAAATCATTTTCTTCTGAAAATTTGGACAGATAACTAAGGCTGGTGAGATTGGGTCTTCAACAATGCCTCACAAAGTTAATCCTATAGATTTTGAAAATAGTGAAGGTAATCTTGGCAAGGCTAATGAAGATTTATCATTTTTAAGCATGAAGTTGCCTATATCGCGTTGGCAGGTAAGACCTGATCCATTTTTACTTCAATACAAATTTTCAGAGACTTCTGTCCATGCACTAGTTTGTGTTGTGGTTTTGAGGCCATTTAGATTTTATGTTGAAGTATAACATTCAGAGGTACATAATTGAATATGCCAAAACATTGCTTGCATAAACAAAGCCTTAGGGTTGAGTCTTAACTGGCTGTTTTTAAGTTATTCACTTTTTAGTTTATAAATAATTAATTAAGTGTCTTATGTTTGGCAATATGGATTCTCTGTATTTGCAGCGTGACTTGACTGATTCAACTGTTTTGAGGAATATGGGTGGAGGACTAGGACATTCCCTTCTTGCCTATAAAAGTGCATTACAGGGAATAGGAAAACTTAAGGTATGCAATATAATGCAAATGTTATTCTGATTGGTCAGTTGGCATAAGCATATTTTATTGGATTTACAGTACATGTCACCTTCCTACTACATGTGAAGCAATTGATCTTCCTAACATTTTTCTAACTTAAAAAGTATTTTTATTGGTTGAATATGAAGTTTAAATTGCTTTTACATTTCACATGAATTTTTAATGTTTTCTTTGTGTTCTCTCGTTGTATTTCTTTAACATCCTAGGTTAATGAAACTCGCTTGAGTGAAGACTTGAACCACGCATGGGAGGTGCTTGCTGAACCAATACAGACTGTATGTATCCTGTTCATCTTATTAATCTCTTGATTTCTCCAAGTCGTACATTGTGTTTGCTGTTGCAGATTAGGTCCTCAACCTTTGATGCTTTAGTTTTTTTGTATAGGATTCTAATGGTGTATACAGATATGCCACCAGATCTTGTATCTTGGTTCTTGCTTTATCATTCCTTTAGCCTTCCCTCTTTCCCTAAGAAAAAAGAATTGTATCTCTAGTACTGACCAACATCTAGCTGTTCAGTGTAGCATCTAATGTGTTTTAATTTGGCAGTTTTGAGTTATAATTTCCTGTGTGAGGCAGATGCCCTTTTGGGAACTGCCCATTTGAATTGGCGTATTTGATTCTTTTGCGCTGATTAGCTGATGATTTCTAGTCTCTTAGATATGTATATATATATATATATATATATATATATACTTCTTTTCAAATGGCCCCATAATTCTTACTCTTTGTGCTAATTTGTATGTAGGTTATGCGGAGATACGGTGTTCCAGAGCCTTACGAGAAGCTAAAAGAACTAACCAGGGGAAAGGCAGTTACTAGAGAAAGTATAAGAGAGTTTATCTTGGGTTTAGAATTGCCTGAAGAAGCAAAGGCTAATCTTCTCAATTTAACACCCCATACTTATGTTGGAGCAGCTGTTGATTTGGCCAGAAATGTGGATGCAGCTGTGAATTTGGTGAATGGGACCAAGGTTTTAGAGACTTGCTCTTGAAATAATCTCACAAGATATACAATTACTTGACTACAGTTGTTATTTTACCTGATCAGGTTTGGAGGTGATGTATTTAAATGTTCCTGCCATTGGGAAGAGAAAAAAAAAAAAAAAAAAAAACCCACATTTTGTAGCTTCTAAAGGAATGTGACTGTAATTGCCTAATTTGAATGATTATAATAATGCAAACAGAAAGTGAGAGTTGAAATTTTGAAAGCATTATTTATGTTTTTTATATTACCATTATGTGCTAATAGTTTATTGTCTTGTCATCCATTTCACTTCCTGCATGGATCCAGGGAAGATCAAACCACTACCATTTTTTATCAGCTCATGGTTTCTGGAATCAAATTTTTATTATGTTTTAAAATGATTTTGGAAAATGATAAGAGAGGTTTGTGATAATCTGGATACTTTTAACTTAAAAGTATATTACGGTGGAGAATAATGTTGAAGCCAAATGGGGTGTTTCTGAATTTAGAGCAAACATCAGAGGAGCTAACTGAAATTCACCCCTTCGATATTAACGAATATGTTCCAAATCCTTTTGATTAATTAATATTTTGGACTACAATCATTAATACGTAGCAGCAGTTCCACTCCCACATAGGCAATCGGCCAATCAAATCAAATAGTGCCCTTCTGGTAATTACAAATTTTAACAAATATATAATTTAAAAAAAAATTATTATGAGGCTTTAAAAAGAGAATGATTGGGCTTAAAGAAAAAGAACGCCACTAATAAAGATGAGACATGGCACATTCTGCTTCAAGACGAAAGTTGCCTTTGATTTCATTTAAAAGACTGATCAATCACCAACTGCCCCATGCAATGATGTCCTGTTTCTGATTGAGGCCGCTTCCTGTAGGAGAGAGACACAATGGACAGCTTCTCTTTTGACGTGGAGAATTCTAGTACATCTTTTTATCTTTTTGCCACGCTCTTCCAGATATTCTTAATGTGTTCATCTGTGTAGGTTTGCTTGTGCAGTTTTCAGTTTATGAAAGAAAGAGATCTAACCTTATAGATCACTTCAAAATTTTGTTGACCCAGTTCATATTCTTATGTTAATTTTATAAAACTGGTTGATTAAGGTTGGTTATAGTTATGAACTTTTTTCATGAAGGTGGAACTTCTTCCCTTTATTATAGGCAAAAAAAATTGAGATGATCTGGTGCTGGCTCTTAGCATGGTAGATTAAACTACTTGTAAGTTTTAATTTTATGTTAAGGATCTTTTAGATTGTAACTGTGATCTAATTTCTGTAGAAGTAAAGGAGTACTTATGAATGCTTGAACTTCTGTTGTTGCAGTTGTCTCTTCTATCACCTGGAAGGGATCTTTAGATTTTGATAGCTTGCTGAATTGAGCATGTAATTGCTGGTTAGATTGAAAGAATGTCAGTTTATGGCCGTGAAATTGAACGGGAATACTCCGTCCAGAGTCTCGAGAGTAGAGGAGGTTCCGGTATGCTATATGCCTATATCTATTTTTTTAACTTCAATTTTGCGGTATTTTATGTTATCTGACAAATACAATTACTGAGATATTCATTAATATAAGAAAGAGATCAAAAGTGCTTCATTTACTAGATCATGAGGAGTAATAACCAGTGTAAATAATTAAATTTCCAAAGCAATAACCATCTGAAATCATATTATTTTCAGGGTATTTAGGTAGTCTGGTTACGAAGATTTTTTTTTTTCCTTGGGTTCAAATTCTAAATTTAAATAATAGGCTATTGGATGATCTATATGTTTTGACACTTCTGTAACTTGTTGCTCCATGCCATCAGTGGAAATTTTTCGACTAATCTACAGTTATAAACTTATGATTGTATCATGTGTGAAGCTATAGTCTGTAAGCATTTTTTTTCCCTAATTTGATGGAATATTGATCTTCCTGTTTTTCCTTGACAACAGAGTTGGGAAGTCGATATGCAGTTGAGGCAGGATTCTACATGACATCTTTTGCTGCAACAATCTTCATTGGTGGTCTTGTAACTGTTGGGATTTTGTTGGTAACCTTGCTGATTGCATTAACAGTGATGTTGCAATCCTGTCAAACTAGCAGGGCTGGAATAGTTGAAATTGCTAAATCAAGTGATGATTACAGTTACTGCAAAATTTATGCTCTACATGCAGAGCTTAACAGCTTGGAAGTGGAAGGAGATTACTTCCCTTCAGTTTGCAGGGGTCTTGCTATTCGATATCTCAAAGAAGGACAATATGCTAGAGATCTAAATTTCACAATGTGGATGGTTGAAAGTTATTTCAGTACTCTTTCGCCATCAGACGATGGTTTAGATTTAGTTATGATAGACATAGATGACATCTTTGCTTCAAGTCCTCGATGCACCAAGCTGTTGATGGATAGGTAATTTTCTCATAACTTTCACATATTTGCTGCTTTGTGCATTTTCTATCCCATCTTAGTTAGATTGCCTTGACATGTGATCATCCCCAATATAAGTTGATTTTCTTGAATTTCTTGTCTGGTGAAGTTCATGAATTTCCTGGGGGACCAATTGATTCTCCAAATACAAATTTTTTAGAACTTGTTATCTTTTAGTAGAGGAAAAACTACTCAGGTAAAAACAGAATCTATTTTCTTTGGTGTACTCAAAATGAATGCTAGCAGCCTAGCGCCATTTTTGTTCCTTGTTTTATTCAATCTTCAAGAACATACACATCATTTGGTGAATGTTGGGGAAGCAAGAAATGATGTTGGCATGCTACTGTGCATCTTGTTAGTAAATTTTCTTGAAGCATATTTGCTTTCCTCACTATGCTGCTTGTTCCTTTGATTGTTATAAGTCACTTACAAGAAATAATTCTACTACGGCGCAGAATCGATCGATGTGGTAGTGTTGATGGTATTGAAGAGGCCAATCATCTTAAGCAAACCCTTACTCTGAAATTATTCTTGTCACTTCAAGCTAGCGGATGGCCTGTGATTCTGATATCCAGAAAACCTGAGGGACAACGTAATGCCACCACAGAGCTCCTCATTTCTGCAGGATACAGTGGTTGGTCTTCATTGATTATGAGGTAAGTATACATCATTCATTTTTTTTCTTCTTAAGAGCCATCTTTGATTACATTTTTCTCCATTTTGGGTGAAACCCTTATATGGATATCTGTATACAGTATGAACTTGCAAATTATGTTTTCGAATTTACCTATGGAGTTTGATTAAAATGTCAGCACCCCTGCAGGTTGGACGATGAAATGCAAATGGATAGCCACGAATACTTATCTAGACGAAGGGCAATACTGCAAAAAGATGGCTTCCGCATAACTGGTTTGATTAGCAGCCAGATGGATGCTTTAATGGGTCAAACTCTAGTACAGCGTGTTTTCAAGCTTCCAAATCCTCTATATTATGACTTTCAGGATCTCACTGAAAGAAAGAAAATAGCATAATAGATGATGTTCAAACGTGGCTTTCCCTTCCAATATCATTTCTTCTGTGTATCGATTATTCATTATCCGCAGATCTTCCATTGTAGTTTGTGAACTTTGCTCTGTCATCATTATATTTTGAATTCCCTAAGAATTCAATTGTATATATGCTAATATGAAGTTTCTTTCAGGAGATATGAGGATAAGCTATTTTATTTGAAATGTGGTTGGCTAACTGATTGCTATTTAGTTGGAAACTGAAAGCGAAAATAACTCCCCAAGACTTCTATAATTGATAGGATTAAGTAACAAATGAAAGAACAAAATTTTCTAATATTGTCAAAAATCAGGTTTTGAGCCACATCAACTTTACAAAAATTTTATTACCAAAAGATCCTCTTAATACAAAGGCGGACTAAATGACTGCAGACGCTGCAACCAAGCAATCCTCACACTAGGCTCCTTCAGTTCAAGAAAAATTTCTCTATACTCTTTCTTTAGGAATAAATCTAAAGCAAATAAGTAAAGATCACTACCTTGTTCTACCTCCTCCATTGCATCTAAATACTCAATGCATTGCCCAATACTATAATCATGTTTGCCTTGCGTAGGCTGAATGGTTATTAGATTCCTTTGAATTGTCACACTCCTTGATTCAATGTCATAAAGATGCCCAGTTTTCCTATCTAGTTTGGTTGTGCCTCCTTCATTTGCATCTGAAAGTGATGTAGTAGGACTGCCACTATGCTGCCTCCTATCCCACTTTCCTGTGCCTAGCTCATTTTTATGCAAAAGAGAAGAAGCACAACTGTCGTTGAGCCTCCTCCGCTGAATTGGAGGATCTGTTTCTCCAGTATTCATTGTTCCATCAAAGATAACTTCCAGTTTGTCAGTGTTCTGGAGCTCCTTATACCGAAATTGTGCAGCTTCTGGGTTTACCTGTACCAAAACTATCATGCTATCACTAAACTAGAGCGCTTGACAAGACGAGCATACTGAGATTTCAATTAAAAAAGAATCAACATTTTTTTGAGTCATTTGGCATACCTGTATATAGCTCTCCCAATCTTCTTCGCTAGCACCAAAGCATTTGGTATTTGGGTTCCATTTCATATGACTAGTGTCAACCAGCTTACACCAAATCTTCCATTGTTCCTTTGTGGAATCCCAATGATTCTTTAGTTGTATCCTATCATACCTCAAACCAGTCTTGTCTTGGAATGATTCAACAATATTCCTCCACCCCTCCTTACTAAAATGTGTACCAGGTCGATTTCCCTTTAATGTCTCCTCAAAACATAGATCAACAAAGATTTCATGCAAGCCCGGTATCCAAGTGGCTTTTGGCTTTGAAACTGATGTGCTTTGTTCGCTTGCAAGTTGCTCCCCATGTCTTGAGTAACACTCATCCAGCCCATCTGGCTTTCCTTTCCATGGCTCTTTTTTATGCAAAAGGTAAGTGGTTGAACAATTGTTCTGTCTCTTATGCTGAGTATCACCAGTATATATTGTACCATCAAAAATGATTTTCAATTTGTCAGCATGCTGAAGTTCCTTAAACCGAAATTGTGCAACTTCTGGGTTTGCCTGTGACAAAGGTACTATGCTGTTTACCAATCTGCAATTCATAAAAAACACTAACATTCCCCCCTCCCCACCAAAAAGGAAAAAAAAAAAAAAAGTTCCCAACATAGCAATAGTGACTTTGAAGCCAGGTAGTATACCTGTATATAATAGGTCCAGTCATCATCGCTTGCACCAAATGTATTTCTTTCTGGATTCCATTTCATAAAACCAGCATCAGTTAGCTTACACCAGACTTTCCATTGCTCCTTAGTGCTATCCCAATGATTCTTCATTTGTTTTTTATCATACCTCAAGCCAGTCTTTTTGTAAAATGATTCAACAATATTCCTCCAACCCTCCTTAGTAAAATGTGTACCAGGTTTGTTCCCATTTAATGTCTGTTCTAGACATGAATCAATAAAAATTTTGTGGAAAGCCGGTATCCAATTGGCTTTTGCCTTTGAAGTTGATGAGGCAGACATCCTTTATTCACTTGCAATTGTTCTGCTATTCACAGACCTATTGATGTATAAAAAGACCTGTTAATAAACAATTAAAGGCATACCGATTCACCTACATATGCACGTATTCCTCTCTCTCTCACACACACAGAGAACACGGAGTTGAATGTTAACCATCACCATTTCGACAAAATGGAAAAAAGAAAACCTCTGAAATGGTCTCCTACACAAATCATGGCTACTCAAAGTAAGAGAGACTGAACACAAAAAATATTATATGAATTTTAAACTAATTGAAAATCACATATTGTATTGTACGAGAAGATGTCTTTTATTCATAATTGATACTACTTTAAGATTGAACATTACTAAAAACATGTAGCTTATCACCAATATGACATTATGGGATCCCAAAAACTGTCTGTTACAATCAAATACTGAGAAATATCATAGCATTTCTCTATGATGGTCACCTCTAAATCGAGCAGAAAATCAACAACCACCAATGTTAAAGCAAAAAAAAATAAAAATAAAATATGACCTCTTCTTGAAATGAAATAAAATAAAACTTTATTGTAATTATAAATAACTATATAAAAGATGGGCATTCTAGCAAACAATCATGTATTTAAAACCTAAAACCCTGCGCATATTACAGCATAAAACCCAGCTTTACGCTTTGCCCTGTATCTGATTATAGTTAAACAAAGGGCGAAAATAATATTTTTGAATTTTATAGATATTAACCATGAATGATAAAAATTAAATAAAAAAAAATAACTGAATTGAGTCCGCCACAAGTTACAACAATCTGGGTTGTTTTGACTTGAGTTTTCCATTGACAAAGCAGAACATAAATATAACCCACAAAACTAAAATTCAATTTTCTTTTCTTGTCTAATAGCAAGAAAACAAACAGAAGGATATTAAAAAAATAAAAAAAGAAAAAAAAAATGAATCCTTCACGTCACTGCAATAAAATCGGTCAAACACAGACAACATGCACCAAAAAAGAAAATAAACAAATGAACATGGAGAAAGTGGAGTGATAAAATTGAAAAACAGATATTAATGCACCTGGAGCTGCATTTTGGATGAATAGAAGGCAGGCGAATTAGAGGAATTGGGAAAAACAGAAGGATTTCAGCATTAAATTAAAAAACTCGTCTTTTTCTTTCATTCTTTTTTCTGTTCTTACTTTCCATTTCTTGTTTCTTTTCAAAAGTGCACCACAGTATCTAACTAAACGGCCGAGCAGAGCGCCCCGCCAGGTGGTGGACGATCAAGGTTGGGCCTTTTGGGTTGTCCTTCAGGCCCAAAGCAATTTCACCACCCGTCTATTTTAAGGGTTCATTTTTGTTATATATATATATATATTAAAGGATGCTTTAAACAAGTTTTTTCAAATATACTTTATCTGATTTTGAGAAACGTTTTTGTGTATTTTAACATCTTTTATAAAAAAGATCGTTTATTATTATTACACGTGAAGTTATTAACATGTTAAATAAATAGCATTTTCCTCATGCAGTATGGTTCACTTTGTCCTTGCAAACATATTATTCTTTTTCTTATAATTCAATTACCCCAAAAATCAATAAAAGAATATAACTACGTATTTAAAAAACAAAAAAATAAAAATCCTACACCAAGTTAATAGTTTTGAAAATTATTTTTGTTCTTATGACATTACACAAATCCCTTGATTACCCTTTAGTTAATCTTTTTGTTGGGTGAACCGAGTAACGGAAATGATAAAGCCACCGAATATTATGCACTAATTTTATGTACCGAATGACGTGACAAAATCTTGATCATCTATTAATATTCAGTTAAAATTAATCAATGGTCAAGATTTTGTCACGTTATTCAGTGCATGAATTCGGTGCATTACTTCGGTGACTGTAGCATTATTCACCGAGTAATTGTTTCTCCCATGACTCTTTGTATAACCAATCACAATCCCAATAACTAAAAAGCATGTCATCTGGCTACAAAGGGAGAAGTGTTTAATCTTTTCTTACATAAAATAATCCTTTTATTATCTTAATGCATTGCTAATTATTTGGCTTGTGAAGTTTGAATTGTTAATATCCCGTAAGCTAATTTAATTTGATAGCTAATCACACGCTGGCCATAATGCAGAACCATAATTATAAAGAGGCTAACTCATAGGAGATTAAAGATTAATCTTAATTTTGCTATAGGCTAATAAATAATAAATAAATAAAAGTTAAAGTATAATACAATAATTCAGAAGGTAAATAAGAAATCTAAAAGAAAACTATCAACCTATCACAATCCTCAAGCAAAGGTTAGTACAATTCTTCTTTGATCTGATTCTATAACCGAAATAAAATTACCCATGCCCTTGTCAAAATTGAACTCATGCTCCTTATTTTTTAAAACTTTATAGGCAACACTACAATTACAATCAAATCTTACAATTTTTCTCTCACAATCTTGACGTGATAGCTCACAATTGGTCAACTCAAAAATAGGTACCGCATGCTCATTTGCGAGTTGACCAATTATAAATTGTCACATTGGAGTTGGGTTGTTAGCCAATCTTTATTGAAACTTTATTCGAAGTAAAATCACTCTTAACAAAATTAAACTCATAGTCCTGGTTTTCTAAATATTTAATTGAAATCAAATTACTTTTATCAAAATTTAACTCAATACTAGTTAGGGCAATATGATCAGCTGCAGTGACGAACAAAAACACCAAAATTAATTCGCAATGCCAACATCTAATGATGGATGATGTGAATAGAAAAAAGCTAGAATTTATAACATAGCAGAAGATTGCCATATAACCCTATTCAGAGGAGGATTATAAAGAGGACCTAGAATAGAAATAGAATGAATGGTTAAAATAATTAATAATCAATATAAAATTATAGTGCTAATTTGTAATTGGGGTTTCATTCTTGCGAACGTACTCCCTAGGCGGGATACTTAATGCGTTAGTTATAGTGTTGCATGGGTTGATACACACAGCGCCTAGTATCCATCGTTTACGACTAGGACTATTGGGGTATCTAATCCCATTCACTCCCCTAGCTTTCATCTCTCAATGTCAATGTCAGCCCAATAGAGTGCTTTTGCCGTTTGTGTTCTGATCTCTATGCATTTCACTGTTCCATCAGAAATTCCTTCTACCCCTATTGTACTCTAGCTTGGTAGTTTCCACCACCTATCAAGGGTTGAGCCCAAGGATTTGACGGAGGACTTAAAAAACAACCTATAGATGCTTTACGCCCAATCATTCTAGATAATGCTTGCATCCTTTGTATTACCGCGGCTACTGGCACAAAGTCAATTGATGTTTATTCCCCAGATACCGTCATTGCTTCTTGTTTAGGAAAAGAAGTTCTTAATTAACTTGGAATCACCCTCAACAGTAAAATTCTCTAATTCTCCCTATAAATTAAATTTCAGATATATTATATTTGAGTTGAAGGTTAATTTAAATTAATTACAAGAATAAATAATATTAAATACTACCTCTTGCAATTGCAAACTTTTGCGAGTAGAAACGAGGTCTGATGGGTATATGTATAAATATCCGAATTCCATAATTTAATATAGTTTTTCCAATGCGACATGAAAAGCAAACTGGAAGAGTTAAACCAAAATAATTAGAAATATAATATAAGATTAAGATTGTGAGTTTAATTGATTAAGTAAATATTAATAGTGGTTAATTAGAATAATTAAATATCTTCTCATACATCTGTGTCTTGTCCAAAATAGAGATATCAAAGTTTATCGGCTTCGTTTGTTTCAATTTTCAGAATACTACTTTTAGTATTCCCCAAAAAATTAAACAGTAAAATACCCAAAAACTATGGGCTCCGTTTGGTTCAAAATTTGGGGGTTTTGGGAAAAGTTTTTTGAAAAAAGTTAAAAAAAAGTTGAATTGGGCGAGTATTACGATGTAGGATTTATAAATTATAAAATACCCTATATATTTATTTTTTTACAAAATACCCCCTATAATAAAACATTAAAAGTTAACAAAAATACCCCTAACCCACCCTCAAACACCCCCAGTCGGCCACCACCACCGGAGGTGGCCGAAGTCACCTTATGGGCGCATGATCGGCTGGATCTTGCCGGTCATGCGCCGATATGGCCTTTTCCAGCCAGATCCACAGTGGATCTCTGGCCATCAACCGCCAGATCTGGCCGTATTTGCTCTCAACGATGGCCAACAAACGATCGTCGTTGATGGTCAACGACGACCGTTTGTTGGCCGTCATGACCGACTGTTACGGCCAAAGATCTTGCCATCAACGGCCAGATCTTTGGCCTTAGATTTGGCCTTTTCCGGCCAGATCCACCGTGGATCTAGCCGGAAAAGGCTAGATCGGCGCACTACTGGCCAGATTCAGCCGGTAGTGCGCCATCCTACCAGATTCTGGTCATTTTCTGGTGGTGGTGGTTGGAATCTGGTAAATGTGGATTATTGGGGTGTTTTTGTAATTTTAAAAAAAATATTTAGGGGTATTTAATTAAACTATCAAATTTAAGGGGTTTAAAAAAAGTTGAATAATATTGTGAGTAGTATTTCCAAAAATCTGAGTTTTTGGGTATTTTACTGTTTAACTTTTTTGGGAATACTATTTTCAATATTATTCAACTTTTTTTAAACCCTCTAAATTTATTAATTTAATTAAATACCTCTAAATATTTTTTTAAAAATTACAAAAACACCCCAGCAATCCACATTTACCAGATTTCGGCCACCACCGTCAGAAAATGACCGGAATCTACTATGATGGCACACTACCGGCTGAATCTGGCCGGTAGTGCACCGATCTAACCTTTTCCAGCCAGATCCACGGTGGATCTGGCAGGAAAAGGCCAGATCTAAAGCCAAAGATCTGGCCATTGATAGTCGGTAACGACGGCCAACAAACGGTCGTCGTTGACCATCAACGATGACCGTTTGTTGGCCGTTGTTGACCAGCAAATACGGCCATATCTGGTCGTTGATGGCCAGATCTGGCTATAGATCTGGCCTTTACCGACCAGATCCACCATGAATTTGACCAGAAAAGACCATATCGGGGCACGACCGGCAAGATCCAGCCGGTCATGCATCGATACGGTGACTTCGGCCACCCACCGGCGGTGGTGGCCGGCTGTCCGTATTTGAGGGTGGGTTGAGGGTGTTTTTGTTAACTTTTAATATTTTATTATAGGGGTGTTTTTATAAATAAATAAACATAGGAGATATTTTATTAATTTATAAATCATATATCGTAATACCCGCCCAATTCAACTTTTTTTTACCTTTTTTCAAAAAACTTTTCCCAAAAACCTACAATTTTGAACCAAACGGAGCCATCGTATTTATTTTAAGGATCGCTTAAAATTAAATTCATCTGTTCTGTCAGGGGGTTTTCGATAGTTTTGTGAGGAGGTGTTTATATTTTTAAAAAACATTTTGATATTTATTAAAAGAGGTTTTTTCATAATCATATGGGGGATTTTATACTTTCTTAATGAAATGGATGAGTTTAATTCTAATGCTCTCACAAGATGAAAATGAAATAAAACCTTTGTTTTAACCTAAAAAACCTTAAACATAATTTTATTTTCTCTTCTCATAAGCTTAGATCCTTTACAAGTCTCTCGCAAATGCATAATTTTTACCTAAATTTTCTTTTACAAAATCATCACCATAGATCTCTCTAGAACTATATGTTGAATTTTTGACTCATTTTATTGTTATTTTTTTCAAAGAAAAAAGAGTTTTGGCAAAAATCTTATTTTCATTAAGAAGAAATTCTTAGTTATTAAGTAGTATAAAGTTTGTTTATTTTCAAGTTTTGTATTATGGGAAGTGAAGTTTTTTCAAGAAGATATTCAAGTTTTTAATTATACAATGGGGTTTATTTAATGCTATGAATTGGGAGCTGTAATTATTATTATTATTATTATTATTTGATTGGCAAAGGGAAATTTGAATTGGGAAGATATTTGAAGGCACCATTGTATTGAGTCAAGGCATTGCATAACCAACAAAATAATCTATTATTCACCTACAAAGTTTGTCATATTTGTTTTAAGGATCGCTTACAATAAACTCATTTTATCACCTTTTTTTTTTTAATAAATAAAACCATTAAATTATGAGGTGCACATCTTGTGCTGTTTTGCATATGTTGTGCACATTTTATTTTATTATAAA